ACTAACATCACCCCCCTGTGGTCATGGGGGACCACGAACACAGGTGAGGACGTCCGTCCATGAGCAAAAGTTAGGATGCCCTTAAGTAGTTTTAGCTGTTTGCGCAGCTGAAAGAGGACTCTAAGGTCTGGATTGGAATCTAGGTCGCCTTTCGATGGAGTGTATTTGTCTGGGTCAGTCAGATACAGTATCATCGAGTTAATTGCAGGATCCAACTTCTGAAGTTGGATGATGTCTGGGTCAGTCAGCATTGGGCGTACAGAAACTGTGTTATCAGCAGGTTTAGCTGCAGCTTGTGCACGTGTGACTGCCATTACCTCAGTTGTAGATTGTGACGACTGAGTGTTGAGTAGCCAGGAGGGGTCAAAGGACCACGAGGGCCCGTCAACGGCTCCTTCCTTGGCTAGGGAGTCTGCAAGGACATTGTAGTGCTTGTCATTGCCTGGGACCCTGGAGTGTCCTGGAACTTTCTTCCAGAAGATCTGTAGATCATGTGATGTCACTAAGTGATCACGTCATGAAAAGCTCTTTGTGTTTTACCACCTTTTTGTTGCTTGTGAGAAAACCGTTCTGTTTACACAGAGCGAGATGACACAAGAAACTGAGTCGAGCATAGTTAGAGTCAGTGCAGATGACCAGCGTCTGGATGGAGCGTTCCACTGCCATCTGTAGGCCTATTAGGATTGCAGCTATCTCAGCGTACTGAGAAGACTGAGAGCCCAATTTATAGCCAAATGTGACTTGGTTCTGCTAAAGGTTTCTTCCTCATGATGGTGTTTTAACTTTCCACTGTCGCCTTCATGCTTGATCAAGAGATTTCTGTGATGGAGTTAAATTAAAAACAGTCTGCTCCTCAGATAAATAGTGTTAAATTATTGTTTATATATATATATATATATATATATATATATATATATATATATATATGAATGTTTCTGGTGGTTGTGGCTGAGTGGTTCGAGCAGTCGTCCTCCATTGTAAGAGTTGGGGGTTCAATTCCACCAGCAGTCACATGCTGAAGTGTCCTTGGGCAAGACACTGAACCCCTCATTGCCTCAGCTGTGTGTCCCATCAGTGTATGAATGTGATAAAACTCTGATTAATCTTTGTACAGAAATAGTTAAGTGATGTATGAATGGGTAACTGAGGGCACAGATTGTGTTGTAACGTCCTTTGAGTATTTTAATAAGATATAAAGGAGCTATAGTACAGTCCATTTACCATTTATTTCCCATTCTGTTAAGTGCACTGAGATGACTCCTGTTGTGACTTGGCGCTACAGTATATAAATAAATTGAACTGAATTGAACTACGCAGCACGCTGGCGCAACTGGTAGAGCTGCTGCCTCTCAGCGAGCAGGTCCTGGTTCAAACCCCGGTCCAGGGGCCTTTCTGGGTGGAGTTTGCATGTTCTCTCCGTGCATGCGTGGGTTTTCTCTGGGTGCTCCGGTTTCCTCCCACAGACCAAAAACATGCATGTTAGGCTGATTGGTGTGAGTGAGAAAGTGAATGGTTGTTTGTCTCGTTTGTCTCTATGTGTCCCTGTGATGGACTTGCGACCCGTCCAGGGTGTACCCCGCCCCTCGCACAGTGATTGCTGGACATGGGCACCGGCGACCCCCGTGACCCAAAATGGAATAAACGGGTAAAGAAAATGGATGGATGGATGGATGGAATTGAACTACTGTAATAAGACATGCATGGATGAGGATAGGCACAGTTGGAAGATTCCTATGTAAGCAAGCCTAGAGAGAGGACATACATGTATATAGGAAGGATGTGATAACTGTAAAAACTATGTGTGTGTGTACAAATATATGTATTGTTTGTTAAATTATAATTTTACTACATAAAACGAAGTTTACAGGAGACATCAAAGGTGATCTAAAAATTCACAACAGCCAAAAAAAAAAAAAAAACTGCTGTTTGCATTCCACGTGTGAAAAACACTTCATAAGAATTAACCACACTGAAGAGAGCAGAAACCTTTCCTTCAGCCAATAGGACATGGATGGATGAAGAGATTACAACAGCATTGCGCAAATATGGCAAGCAGCCATCTAACATTGCACAACCTGACAGTTTGAAAAAATATTGTATACCAGAACATTATTACATCTAATTACAGAAATTGTAAAAGCTGAAAGGTGTTCATTTGCCTGCAGCAAAATATTAGAAATACACTTGCTTGAGTTTTGCCAAACAAAATGTTACATTAAGGCTGTCTTGAAAAACATCTGACTTGTAGACGTTTCACTGAAAACGATGATGTGTTCTAGAGATGCCATTTCTAACCCAAACCGAGCGTTGACCGGCCTTGAAAGAGGTAAAAACGTCAGTTACACTTCAGATGGACTACTGCCAGCAATCTAAAGCCCAAATGGACGTTCATTCAGCCGCTGCGCTCAGCGGACACGATGCCGATGACCCAAACAGGTGAGATCACAAAATGTCTATGTCAGAGCAGGGCCCAATGCAGGCAGAAGCAGGGGAAGCATTTAATGTACTTTGAGAGCTCCTCAGCTCCGATCTTCTGCCCCCTTTACTCAACCGCGTGCATCCACCAACAGTCGGTGGTATAAGCAGTCAAAGCTTAATTAAAATGTTGTTTTTTTTAGGGTTCAGACCTGTAATTACTGTTAATTTGTCGGATCGGGTGGAGTTCGGAAATTATAGCTACAGGCTGGGCTGGGTTGGATTTTTTTGAACTCGAGTGCAACTCTGTGTTGACAAAGTAAAGAAACAGTATCATGACTGAGAATATGCATAAGTTGACAATGAATGTTAAAACATAAAAACAAATCACTTGTAAATAAAATTAGTGGTTCGTGAACTTTCTAGCTTTTAATTCACAAAATAACAGCAACAAAAACTTGAGAACCCCATGTCTTTGATTAAAAAATGCAAACATTGCAATTTGGTCAAATAAATGAGGGACTTATGACCACAACAATTAGTAGACTTTTTTGTACTTATGATAGCAAGTTGTATTTCTTGTAGCAAATATGACCTTAAAGACTAACCAAACATTTTATCCATCAATTGTTTTTACCTACTTTTTCCTTTTCAAGACGTAACAGAGGTTCTGTGTATCTCCATCAATTACCATGTGAGAGGCAGGGAACACCCTGGACAGGTCTCCAGTCCATCACAGGGACACATAGAGACAAACGAGACAAACAACCATTCACTCTCTCACTCACACCTAGAGACAATTTAGAGTTACCAATCAGCCTAACATGCATGTTTTTGGTCTGTGGGAGGAAACAGGAGCACCCGGAGAAAACCCACGCATGCACGGAGAGAACACACAAACTCCACCCAGAAAGGCTAGGAGGCAAACCTGCAACCTTTTTTCTTTCAGGCAACAGTGCTATCCACTGCTTCACCATGCCACCTGCAGCAATTGTTTTTAAAATTGATTTTGTTTCTGAAAATAATATTTTGTAAAATCAAAACTTGATGTTTCGTAAAAATAGAGGGGCGTGGTGGAGCGGAGTTTAAAGAAAATGCGCCTGTGATCTGAAGCTAGCAGATTTGAATCCCCAGACTGGCAAAAAAAATTTGGGGCAAGAAAGATGAAGCACCCACATCTGTCTCCCACAGTGGGCCACTCGCCCACAGTGCTCGCCAGCCAGCTTCCCTACAGATGGCTTCCTTCTGGTCCATGTCTGCTCTTTTGTGTAAATAGGATACATTACCTGACTGGGGATTAAAAGAGTAAAATATAAGAAATAATAATAATGTCAACGACAGGGTCCCAAACTCAAATTTGGTAATCAATCTGTTAAAGAATACACATTTCCATTCACTTATTTTGGTATTTTAAAACATCTTTTGGGGTTATAAGAAAACCACAAAGTCATGCATAGACAAAAGAATTGCACAAGATATGTTTTGGTTTAGTTTTTGATTCATGATTTAAACATATTTAAACTATGACAATGAAAATAAAGTCTAGGTGCACAAAACAGACATACACAGGTGCATACAGTATAATTTAGTACAGTAATTACAATTCTGTATTACAAAGTTTCATGCTATTACAGAAACTGCGTTCATGGATTATACTACTTCCCATACACCATTTAAGTCTATTACTACATGACATAAATATGAAGTGATGAAGCTGTTTAATTATGCAGCACTAGCGTTTAGCCTTTCTCAACAACGTTTAGGATGTGAATGAAAACTGCACAAGATATAAAACATTATGTCAAAAGAAAGTGTTCAAAAGGATCACTCTTTTTCTCAACGTGTTCTTAATCATACAAAACATTTATGAACATGATTAGGTTTTACATGAAACCTAATTTCACCAACATGTCAACATAAAAATGTCATGGTGAAGTTCTAACACAAATAAAATACAAAAATTGTTCAAAGCTGAAAAAAAAATACGACAACAACAATTCACAGCACATTAAGACACAACGTGTAAAAGCATCCTGCTTTTCAACAAACATGAAGTTTGATAATATTTTCTTTGCTCTCGCCTGACTGACTCTCTGTTACACCAACAGGACATTTTAAAAACTGTAAAACTAAAGATTATTCCTTCAGTTATGAAATACTAAATAAACACTTGTGAAGTTATGCTCAACTTCACAACTTTGAGAAGATATGGTAATAAAAATGAACCCTAATTACTCACAGTACTCAGACATAAAGAAATATGGACAAACACAAGTTTTTTTTGACATATATGAATTCTTTAAATACTTTTTTTATATTCATAACCTACCTTAGCATTAAAATCTCATCAAAATCTTCAGGTGTTAAGTGGAATTGCTAGATTTTACACTACTTAACACTTTCATGCTTGTGCTCGTCTGTGTTAAGAGAGTGTTTGTTCTTCTGTGGTTCCTCTGCCTGAAGAGTTCCTTAACTTTTTTGCGAAAGTTTTTTCCTACAATGACGTAGAGAATGGGGTTGAGGACGCTGTTAAAGAACGCTAAGTAGGTGAAAATCTGATAGCAGAGGAGCAGAACTCTAATCAAGTCACAGTCAGGCAGATTTTTGACCCAGAGCACATACAGAGTCTTCATCAGGTGGTACGGAACCCAACAGATCAGGAAGGCCAGTAGAACAGACAGAATCAAACTGGTTGCTTTGTGGTCTGTCTTTTTTGTATTCACTCCTTCCCATAATCGGCTTCTCAAAGTTTTAATAATTTTTACAGCGCAGAAAGAAATGATAAAAATAGGAATAATGAACCCAAACACAGAAATCAACGCATCATTTGTCAGCTGTACAGAATTATTTACATTATTAACCAAACAGCGGGTTATATTTTGATAATTGGGAAGAGTCACATCTCTGTAGATTAGAGCTGGAAGACTAAAGAGGAAGCCCAGAATCCAAACCAGCAAACAGCCCCATTTGGCATATTTAGGCCTACGTGTTATTTGGCAAGACATTGGGTGCACCAGAACCAAATAACGATCTATGCTGATCAGAACCAGGAAGTAGATGCTGCAATAAGCATTCATCAGAATGCTTGCATTAACAACTTTACACATGGCTCGACCAAAAGTCCAGTTGTAACGATTGTAAACATTAGCTGCCCAGAAGGGCAAAAAAGAAACCAGAACCAGGTCAGCTGCAGCCAAGTTGCTCAGGTAGATCTCAGCTGTGGAGCAGGCCTTCTTGTGGAAACAGAAAACCATCAGGACAAAGACATTCAGGACAATTCCCAGTGCAGAGATAAGCAGGATGTAGATTGGAACAAACGTGAAGGTCCAGCCATTGTGAGGAAGAAAACAAACACTGGTTTTGCTTTGGTTTTGGTCACCAGGCTCAAAAGTAAAGTTGTCAGGTGCACTGCAGAAAAAAACAGAAACCAGACAAAACATTACTCTAACGGTTAGATGGAAAATTATACTGTATTACCACCTAAACAAAAGAACTAAAATTTCATCCATCCATCCATTATCTTTTACCCGCTTCTTCCTTTTCGGGTCGCAGGGGTCACTGGTGCCCATATCTAGCAGTCACTGTGTGAGAGGCGGGGTACACCGTGGACAGGTCACAAGTCCACCAGGACACACAAACAACCATTTGTTCTCTCACTCTCATCTAGAGACAATTTAGAGTTACCAATCAGCCTAACATGCATGTTGTTGGTCTGTGGGAGGAAACCGGAGTACCTGGAGAAAACCCATGCAGCACGGAGAGAACATGCAAACTCCACCCAGAAATGTCCTGGGCCGGGATCTGAACAGGTGAACTGCTCGCTGAGAAGCAGCAGCTCTACCAACTGTGCCACCGTGTCGCCAACTACTGTTAAAACTAAAATTTTAACAAATACAAAACATTTTTTATATATGAAATATTTATACAATAAATTAAACATTAGCTGTTAAGTAAGATTATCATCAAGGCTAAAAAGCTTCATGTTGTGATGTTATGGCTTAAACAGAGAAATTTAGTTTATTACTTGAACATCATTTGTATAAATGTGCACTTAGTTTTGGTTTCTACACAGCCTCACAGCAGCTTCCAGCTCCTTAAAGCTGAAAGTATGAATAAAATGAATAAGCAGATATGCTTATTCTGTTTTCCTTTCATTTTTTCCCCCAGAACTCCATTCTTTAAAAGCCTTTCAGATTAAAACATTTTCTTACAGGTACATGAAATAAATGCAGTATGCACTAAAAAATGACAAGTTTAAACAACCAACAAAACTAGATTTAAAAGGTGCTCAAGTGCTGAAAAAACCTTTCTTGTTTGTTTCTTGTTTTCCTTCTGTTAAAAGCTTTTCACATCATTTTGTAAGAGAATAGCTCTAGAGTAAATACTGTTAAGGAATAGATTTTTTTATTTTTTATTAAGCCACAGTAACGTACCTTGTGGTTGTAGGATCCATTTCTGCTGAAAAAAAAAAACATCAGAGGAAAGCAGCACTCCTCCAGTACATCCAGGTTCTGATATATGCCTGACTGTGAATGAGTTTTGAGAAAGTGAACTGGCGTCTTTGAAATATGAAGTGTCCTGCTCTGTTCCCGCCCTCTTTATCCTTCCCCTCCTCCCTGTTTTCACAGCAACATTATGCAAAAGTGGTTTTCAAACATTTCCTGGCCAAGATAAACCAATATCGTAACAACACAATCAGCATCCATCATCCTACTTGTCTGGACTGAAGATGTTTAATAAAAGCTCACTTGGTGAGAAAAAAAATACAATTTTCATATGAAAAACAGTATTTAAGATTTATTAAACCAAAACAAAAGTAATTGAATTTACATAATTTATTTAAAAATTTGTGAAACTTTTTAAATTATAAAGGCATTAGTTTATCTTGTTGTGAAAAACAAATGTCTTTTTTTCTTTCCTTCTTCTTTCAGCTTTTCCATTTTCAGGGGTCGCCACAGCGAGTCATCCTCCTCCATCTCTGTCCTCTGCATCCTCTGTCCTCACTCCAACTACCTCCATGTCCTCTAACTGCATCCAAAGACATATCTCCTCTTTGGTCTTCCTTTTTGTCTTTTTCCTGGCAGCTGCATTTCTAACATCCTTCTACCAATATATCCACTGTCCCTCCTCTGGACATGCCCAAACCATCTCAGTCTGGCCTCTCTAACTTTATCTCCCAGTTGTTCAATCTGGTCTGTACCTTTGATTATCTCATTCCTAATCTTACTTTAAGAACCTCAACATCTTCATATATGCCACTTCCAGTTCTGTCTCCTGTCTTTTTGTAATTACCACTGTCTCCAGACCATACAACATAGCTAACTAGTTGATCTAATTAATGGGTGGTATTACTTATAAGATTACATAATTTGTACAATAATTCTGACATGTTTCAACTTGCAGACTCTGAAACTTTTCAAGAAATATATTGTAGGGATTAGGGGCCCATTGCTATGGGCTGTTCAGTCCCTATACAAGCAGTGCGAGAGTTTGGTTCGCATTGCTGGTAGTAAGTCGGACCCCTTCAAGGTGGGAGTTGTACTCTACTAGGGCTGCCCTTTGTCACCTTTTCTGCTCATAACTTTTATGGACCAAATTTCTCAGTGCAGCCATGGGGCAGAGGGATTCCATCCATTTCAGGATTCCATCTCTGCTATTTGCGGATGATGTGGTCCTGTTTGAATTCATCATACTAAAATCTTCAGATCTCACTGGAGTGGTTTGCAGTGGCTGTAATGAGAATCAGCCCCTCCAAATCTGAGGCCATTGTCCTCAGTCGGAAAAGCATGGATTGCCCTCTCTGGGTTGGGAGTGAGGTTCTGTCGGAAGTGGAGGAGTTTAAGTATCTGGGGGTTTTGTTCACAAGTGAGGGAAGAATGGAGCGAGAGATTGACAGACAGACTGATGCAACATCTGCAGTATTGCCAACTCTGTGTTGGTTCATTGTGGTGAAGAGGGAGCTGAGCTGTAAGGTAAAACTTTCTGTTTACCGTTAGGTCACTGTTCCTACACTCACCTATAGCCACAAACTCTGGGTAGTGACTGAAAGGATGATTGTATATACAGGTAGTTGACATGAGTTTCTTTCACAGGGTATCTGGACTCAATAGAATGAGAAGCTCAGTTATCCAGGAGAGACTCAAAGTAGAACAGCTGCTCCTTCACATCAAGAGGAGCCAGTTGACGTGGTTCGGGCATCTGGTAAGGATTCTTCCCCTGGAAATGCCAGGGTTCCTGGAAATGCCTTGGAATCCTCCCAGAAAAACTGGGAGATGACTGCAGATAGAGATGTCTAAGCCTCTCTGATTAATCTGCTGTCCCCTCAACTTGACTTTGGAACAAGCTAAAGATAATTGATGGATGGATATAGCGTAAGGTGGTATAAAAATATTTTTGGGGAAAAGTTTTGTTCTTGATGCAGATTGGTATTCCTTTTGGCCCAAGTAGTCATGCACTTTTTTAACCTGTTTTGTTTTTTTCAGATTTTTTTAAATGATTGTCCACCACTCTCAAAAATATGGTCACACACCAATAGGCCAAAATAACACATTTGGTTTAAGGAGATGTCCATGTGAATACTGATGAAAGGACAGTAATAAAACAAATCAAAATAACATACACCATTATATCCATTTATTGCATATATGAGATCCCAAAGGCCATTGAAATACTATAACATTTAAACAAACATGGCTCACTTTTCCATAATTCAGCACAGCACAATATGCTGGGTCATTTAAGACCATCAAATTCATGACCATCCATCCATTAACTTCCGCTTGTTTCCAAAGTTGGGTCACGGAGGCAGAAGCTTGAGCATGGAGGCCCAGACTTCTCTTTCCATAGCCAGCTCTACCAGCTCTTCTGGGAGGACCACAAGGTGTTTTCAGGCCAACCGAGAGACGTAGTCTCTCCAGCTTGTCATGGGTCATCCCTGGGATCTCCTCCCAGTTGGACATGCCCGAAGCACCTCCGTCAGGAGGCACCTAGGAGGAATCCTTACCAGATTCCTGAACAACCTCAACTGGTTCTGCTTGATGTGGAGGAGCAGCGGTTCTAATCCGAGTCTCTCCCGGATAACTGAACTTCTCATCCTAACTTTAAGGGAGAGTCCATCTACCATGCAGAGGAAACACATTTCAACCACCTGTATCCACGAGCTCTTTATTTTGGTCACTACTCAGAGCTCGTGACCATGGTTGAGGGTAGGAATGTAGACTGACCAGTAAACAGAGAGCTTTGTCTTAAAGCTCAACTCCCTCTTCACTACAATGGACTGGCACAGAGTTCACAATACTGCAGATGCTGCACCAGTCCAAATGTAAATCTCACGCTCCATTCTTCCCTCACTCATGAACAAAACCCTGAGATACTTGAACTCTTCCACTTCCACTTCCACACATTGACTGCCTTCTCACCTTCAAATCAAAACTCAAAACTTGTAAGGATGGTACTTTTCTGTGGCCCGGTTTGTGTCTGTTTCCCTCGTGCTTCCTCATTAGTTTCCATTGTTGCCACCTGTGTCTCGTCCCAGCTGTTTGTCATCATGTCTCGTCTTCTC